GGAATCATAGATACCCAATAGCATGGAATCATAGATACACAATAGCATGGAATCATAGATACCCAATAACATGGAATCATAGATACACAATAGCATGGAATCATAGATACCCAATAGCATGGAATCATAGATACCCAATAGCATGGAATCATAGATACCCAATAGCATGGAATCATAGATACACAATAGCATGGAATCATAGATACCCAATAACATGGAATCATAGATACCCAATAGCATGGAATCATAGATACCCAATGACATGGAATCATAGATACCCAATGACATGGAATCATAGATACCCAATAACATGGAATCATAGATACCCATTAACATGGAATCATAGATACCCAATAACATGGAATCATAGATACCCATTAACATGGAATCATAGATACCCAATAACATGGAATCATAGATACCCAATGACATGGAATCATTGATACCCAATAACATGGAATCATAGATACCCAATAACATGGAATCATAGATACCCAATAACATGGAATCATAGATACCCAATGACATGGAATCATAGATACCCAATGACATGGAATCATAGATACCCAATAACATGGAATCATAGATACCCAATAACATGGAATCATAGATACCCAATAACATGGAATCATAGATACCTAAATAACATGGAATCATAGATACCCAATAACATGGAATCATAGATACCCAATAACATGGAATCATAGATACCCAATAGCATGGAATCATAGATACCCAATAGCATGGAATCGTAGATACCCAATAACATGGAATCATAGATACCCAATGACATGGAATCATAGATACCCAATGACATGGAATCATAGATACCCAATGACATGGAATCATAGATACCCAATAGCATGGAATCATAGATACCCATTCACATGCTATCATAAATAAACAATCAGGTTTATTTACTTAAGTTATAATTAAAAGTGAATTTCACATTATAGGTCAAAATAACCGTAGTGGAAAAGTTCTGTAAGTCAGCTCTGCTTTCAGCATACTCCGGCTTTAAATGTGGAATTCAAATGTAATTCTCATTTTAGTAAATAACTAAATAACTATGCATGTGTATTTATGATTACATTAGTGTGTATGTAGGCATGTTAATGTGTGTCTATTATTGCATGTTAGTGTTTGTCTATGATTCCATGTTAGTGTGTATGTATGCATGTTAATGTGTGTCTATCGTGGCATCTTAGTGTGTGTGTATGCATGTTAATGTGTGTCTATCATGGCATCTTAGTGTGTGTGTATGCATATTAATGTGTGTCTATCATTGCACATTGAATCTTAGTGTGTGTATGCATGTTAATGTGTGTCTATCATGGCATCTTAGTGTGTGTGTATGCATGTTAATGTGTGTCTATCATGGCATCTTAGTGTGTGTGTATGCATATTAATGTTTGTCTATCATTGCACATTGCATCTTAGTATGTGTATGCATGTTAATGTGTGTCTATGATTGCATGTTAGTGTGTATGTATGCATGTTAATGTGTGTCTATCATGGCATCTTAGTGTGTGTATGAATGTTAATGTGTGTCTATCATTGCACATTGCACCTTAGTGTGTGTGTATGCATGTTAGTGTGTGTCTATCATTGCATCCTAGTGTGTGTGTGTCTGCATGTTAATGTGTGTCTATGATTGCATGTTAGTGTGTATGTATGCATGTTAATGTGTGTCTGTCATTGCATGTTAGGGTGTATTATGAACGCAAAAACGATTAAAGAATTCCCTACAGAATTACTTGCAGATATACAGGTGATACTCGAAAAATTAGAATATCGTGCAAAAGTTCATTTATTTCAGTAATGCAACCAGGGCCGGACTGGGGATTCAAAGCAGCCCTGGAAAAAAAAATGTATGCCAGCCCCATAAGGCCTTGTGTCACGTAATGTGTATGTGTGTAATATATATATATTACACACATACAAATATATACAGTTCAATATTGCTTGGCACTCCTGCTATAATATAATCACTGTTTTAATACCAGGTGCTAGACTGTGGTTAGAGGCGGCTCTCTAATTAGGCAATTTAGGCAGCCGCCAAAGGCCTCGCACAGTGGCTTGCTCTGTATGCCACCGGGTGCTAGGCCCCTCCAATCGGCCCAGCAGGAGAGCGTCAATTGCAGACACAGGTCTACAGCTCCGCAATGTGCAGAGCTGCAGACCACGTGTCTCGCGAGATCTGGCCAATCAAAGCGTTGCTGCAGGTTACCACGGCAACGCTCTGACTAGATATCGCGAGATACATGGTCTGCAGTTCCGCGGAGCTGCAGACCGGATATTATGGCCACCGGACCACCAGGGAGCTAAAAAAAAAAAGTATTTAATCCCTTACCATCACCCCCCTCCTTCCCTTACAACATTATCACCCCCCTCACTCCATCAATAGCCCCCCTCATTCCATCAATATCCCCCTCACACCATCAATATCCCCCTCACACCATCAATAGCCCCCCATCACTCCATCAATAGCCCCCCTCATTCCATCAATATCCCCCTCACACCATCAATAGCCCCCCCTCACACCATCAATAGCCCCCCCTCACACCATCAATAGCCCCCCTCATTCCATCAATATCCCCCTCACACCATCAATATCCCCCTCACACCATCAATAGCCCCCCATCACTCCATCAATAGCCCCCCTCATTCCATCAATACCCCCCTCATTCCATCAATACCCCCTCAATGCATCAATACCCCCCTCACTGCATCAATATCCCCCTCACTGCATCAATATCCCCCTCACTGCATCAATATCGACCTCACACCATCAATAGCCCCCCTCACTGCATCAATACCCCCCTCACACCATCAATACCCCCCCTCACACCATCAATACCCCCCTCACACCATCAATAGCCCCCCTCACTGCATCAATACCCCCATCACACCATCAATAGCCCCCCTCACACCATCAATATCCCCCTCACACCATCAATAGCCCCCCTCACACCATC